GGCATTGCATGACACGGGTGCACTTACCTACATGCAGGCAATGCACTCATATACATAAAAATAATAAAATATTTTTAAAAATAAAATTAAAATGCTTAGTAATTATACAGGTTTAAACTTGCTGCTTATTCTTTCTAAACTAGAGCATCATTTTCATTACTGTTTTGTAGAATAATCATTCTTACATCAGCATAACCTGTAAATACAGGTTTTTGTCAACACTGTGGCCAGCCATGTGGCAAGTCCTGGTTTCTACATTTTGAGGGGCGTGTCAAGTACTTGTCTAGTATGTTCAAACCCTTGTTTGATCCCCAGTGCTGAGAGAGAGAGGAGAGAGAGAGAGAGAGAGAGAGAGAGAGAGAGAGATTTCCAGATTTCAAAATTACAGCAGGCATGAGATACTCTCCATCCAAGAAGCACCTGAGAGCCTAACAGAAAGGACATTCCCAAATAGAAGATGGTGCAGAGATAGGTGATCTGGGGTTGAGAGTCTTTACCTTTCTGAGGAATCTCTGAATTTTGAGGAATCAAGCAGGTCTCTTCTTTCAAGAGAAGTGGCCGAAAGTACCTGGGGGACAGGTAGCCATTCTGGATGGCATAGACGATCAGGCCCTCTGCAGCCGAGAGAGCGGCAGGACTGGGACTGCTGCCTTAAAGAGAATGACATGGAGCCAGAACTGTCAGTCAGGAACGACAGCCTGGGCTGGACACCGGTCGGGGGCGGGAGGCAGAATAGCATCTGGCCTGAGCGGCAGGTAGATAGGAAGAGAGGAGACAGGTGTCTCAGCCAGGACAAAGGCCCTAAGCAGCCACAGAACCCTAAATAGCCACAACTAGGGACTTTATTCAGGTGTTAGTTAAACTGAGACTATTGCTCCATCTCTAGACAAAAGAGTGAGGAGGAGGTAAAAGATGCATGGAGAGGAAGACTGACTTGAGTAAGTCAGATATGCCCTAACCTGGGGAAAAGGGAGACAGAGCTTACTGATTACCCGCCAGGATCACACACGTCATATGCTCTTTGTATCTATTAACCCATATAATTCTCCCAGAGCCCATGTGATAAGTGCCAATACTGTTCTCAGTGTTGAACTGAGGAGACTGGCAGGCACCACTTATCTTACCTATTAGCTTTCAATTCCATCCCTCCCTGCCCAGCTCTGCTTGATCTGCTGGAGGTGAGAAGCCTGCACATGACCTCTTGCTTTGCCCACTGGCTTCTTGATTGTTTCTACTAATAAAAGGGAACAGAAAAAGAAACTGTGTGTGGTATTCTGCCTCTGGCAGTCAGAGCATCTGTGTCGGGCACCTTCAGATTCCTGTGGCCAAACTGGGCACTCAGTCAGTGTTCGTGGTGACAGGGCCACTGGTAACAGGAAAAACTGAATATCATGGACTCCAACAAAGGAAAGGGCTTCTGAGACAGTGATTATCAGAGAAATATGGTGTAGGCTGAAAAGACAGGAGTGTGGAGATGAGGAGGTGGAGGAAGAGCATAGGCCACTCTTTGGATCATCAGGAAACAGGCTTTACCTATCTTATTTCCAAAGAAGGCAATGCCCAGGGAAACGTTATTGTAGCCTTGAGTGTGCAAGCCTTGGACAAGCCAGCCGACACCTTCGTACACCCTGCCATCATCCCCAACCAGGAAGCTGCCAAGCAAGAAATAACAGATTTAATGGTAAATTACATGGTATCCTTAAAAAGTAAACAGGGTTCTGGAGGCTCATAAATTAAGTACCACGTTTTACTAACATAATATCATGTTTTGCTAACATAATAATGGGGTGAGCAAAACACTTTTAGACCTCTAAGAAAAATAAAATTTTACTTCACTTTTTTTTGTTTCCTAGATTCTCGCTTTAGAAAATATTCATTTGGCTTGGTTCAAAGTGAAACTTGAATGCATGACTATCAAGAACCTGAGGACATTAGTTCAATCTTTTCAAAGGCATGATGGTTAATTCATCATGTTTTTTTTTGTTGCTTGGGGGGTCAAGGGTTGAAACAGGGTCTCGCTCTGTTGCCAAGGCTGGCCTAGAACTCACTATATAGCTGGAGCTGGCCTTGAGTTCACAGTAGTCCCCCTCCTCCAGCCTCCCAGGTATGGACCACTATACCCAGCCTAATTCATTGTGTTTTCAAGTTACAGGACCAAGCCCCTGGAGTGATCCTTAAAACAACTAACTGAAACTCAAGAGAGTCTTTAAACTGATGCCACAGGAATTCTTGTAAATTTTTCTTTGTCACAGAAATTTGTTTAAATTTTTCCCTTTTATTCGGTTTATTTTTAAATCCAGTGTATATCCTTTGATTCTACCCCCTTTATCTCAGCCCCTTCATAATGGGACTTCTACCTTCCAGTCCATCTTGGGAATTGATGTTTCCATAACTTGCTCTATTTAGCTCTTTACTAGATCAAGAATTCCCACAGCAAACTGAACACAGAAAGAACATTCTTTTCTGGCTTTCTGCTGGTATTTTCAACAGGTTGCTCTTGCTTCTGCAGTAGCCTTTGACGAGTCCAGTGTGAACACCCTTTATGGCTATAGTCAACTGCATTGTAGCAGGATTATTAAGTTGTCACTGCATAAACCTGATTTTTAGAGGCACTGTGGTTGAAATCACTTAGAAATATCATGACTGAAGTGGGCAAAACTGCAATGGAAGCCATGGGGTTCGGGGGATACCGGTGAAGGGCCAGGCAGACAGACTGCAATATCCACCAGGAATGTCTGCCAACCTAGGGACACAGGTAGCTACAACCAGACTTTCCAGTTGCTCTTACTTATTTGTGTCTAAAACTAAAAATATAAAAGAGCACAGATTATCCTTTCTAAAATGGATAATTCAGAAGTTATTTCTGTCAGTCTTAAGAATTTTGTGTGGGAAACCCCCCTTTACTCTTTCTCTCCATGTGTTTATGAATCTCCTCATTCCTGAGCTACATGAGAAAAGACTTTGGGTCTCCAATACAATCCTCAAAGTAGATTCTCAGGGCACAATGTAAGAATCTTTCATGCCTCACACTCATTTTAACATGGGCTCTCCTCCACATTATTCCCCATGCCCACTCACCTCCCTGTGAGTCACCAGGTCAGTAAGTGAGAAAACACTTCATGAGTAGGAAAGGAGATTGGGCGGGACTAACATGCAGTCTCAACACAATTCTGAAGCCTTGCTTCCTTGCTATTTTCACTTTAAACAAATTCTTTGGTTTCCATAGACTGTGGCATTCTCACCTGGGGGTAAAGATGCTCCTGTCTCTTCCCGCTGCTTCTAATGAGGGTGGGAGTGTTACTGGGGAAGACGGATGAAAGGCTCCCGGAGGAGGCTGCAATTGTTCCATAACCCGGACTTCTTTTCAGGAGCGCCCAGTGTCAAAGACCACTTGAGCAAATGGTTCAGGTTGAATTTTGTTTGAATTCTTTTTCTAATACATTTTTTCATCCTAAAAGATGTAACTGAAGCCCAGAAAATGGAGAAACCAAAGGGAGATAAGACTGCTACAAGGGGTAACACAGTGTGGGATTTGGAGACCTGACCAGCCTCTTACTTGAAGGCCACATCACACCAGCCTTTGTTGTGAACAGAATGGGACTGTAGGACTCGCACTGTCTGACTGCAGGTGGTCTGATCTTGGCACTCCATCGTGGCAAGCTGCTCCATCATGAGGTAGGACACAGGTGGGCTAAGTAGGGTCCTGCAGGTCAGTGGACTTGCACCCCACTCCTTTCGGGAAATTATGGTAGGAATGCCTGTGTAAGAAAACACAGATTGGCATGTTAACAGATGCTCCCCAAGGCTCTGGAAGGCATGGAAGACCTGGAGGAAGCTTCACCACCCCCAGCTTTCCTTCTCATCTCCAGAGTCCACTTTGAGCTCAATAACCACCCAGACAGTTCCTCTGTCTATATGACAGAGTCACTAAGGGTAACCACCAAGTTTGTGGGATTTCAACTGTTTTTCTTTGACATCAAAAGCAAATACGTGTCCCTGACACTGGGACTGAAGTGTGCTGGGCGATAGGAGAGATGCTGACACTGAAAACCTATCTGCCTCTTCAGGAGAGGGGCCTGAGTAACAAGGAGAACAAGGACCAGGACCTACAGAGCACGATCCTTATCAAACTCGCTCTAAAATATGTGGTTTATGAGGACAGTCACGATGATCCATAATGTTCTCTCTCAAAAGCTTTTGTAGCACCTGTGAGTGTTTAATATATCTATTCAGAGCTTACTTAGCATGATATCAACCATCTCAGTATGTGGCACTATCAGTGTACATATACCCATGGATCTATTACTTGGTATGCAGGAAACCCAGGAAAAACAACATTGTTCAGACCAGGAAGCAGGGGAGACTGTAGTGATCCTAGAGGGCAGACTGAGTGAGGGTGGGTATGCTTGAAGGCCTCATTGGGGCAGATGTGGGAGGCTGAGACAATAAAATTCACAGGTCTCTCTTAACCACTGAGCCATCTCTCCAGCCCTAAAATTCACAGGTCCCTCAAAGCCAAAGAACAGCCTCAGTGCAGAGCCAATGGCAAGAGGGCTTGACAGGCACAGAGCAGAACTGGGCAAGTGGGGTGGGAGCAAATCCCAACTCACTGCCTCACTTGGGCAACTTACTTCCCCACCAGGCCTCAGAATCACCACTCACAAACACAAACGAAAGGTGAAACTGTGTGTTCCTTGAACAGCGAGTTTCTCCAACACTAGCTGCGAGTAATCTCATTAACATAGCTGGCTAACGGACAGAAGGCTACCTTATAGTCTCCAAACAGTAACTGTGTGTCAGACAACATGAAAACATGTCCAGTATTTAAGTATTATCAAACTTAAGTCAATTTTAACTCAGCAGAATTCACATAACATTTGCTATGTGTTTAACCACTTTATGAAATGATAAAATAGATTGTAATGCTGTATAGGCATCCCTGCTCTGAAGGAACCAGTGTTTATCTGTAAATGCAAACCCCTGTGATGATGGTATGGTGAGACAGTTAAACCACAGCTGCAAAGCACCTAGAATTCATTTTCTTTTGTTTTTTTAATATTTTATTATTTTTATTTTGTGTGGATGAGTGTATTGCCTGCATGTATGTGAGTGTACCCATGTTGTGCAATGCCACGGAGGTCAGAAGAGGGCTTCAGATTCCCCTGGAACGGACTAGAGTTAAGGATGGTTCGTAGCCGCCATGTGGGTGCTGGGAATCAAACCTGGGTCCTCTGCAAGAGCAGTCAGTGCTCTTAACCGCTGAGCCATCTCTCCAGCCCAGCACCTAGAATGTGTTATTTGAACACTGTGCTAAATGTCTTACATTTGGCATCAGTGACGGTTAATCTTTATATATTGTCGACTGAATTAGATTTAGAATCACTGAGCAGGCAAGTCTCTGGGTATGTCTGTGAGGGACTATCTAAATTAGATTAATTAAGGTGGAGAGAACCACCTTAACTTTGATCTGTACATTCCATGAACTAGGGGTACCAGACTGCATTAAAAACAGAAAGCTGCCGGGCATGGTAGCACACACCTGTAGTCCCAACACTTGGGAGGCAGAGGCAGGCGGACCTTTGTGAGTTCGAGGCCAGTGTGGTCTACGTAGTGAGTTCCAGGACAGCTGGGGCTACAGGAGACCCTGTCTCAAAAAAGACAAAAATAAATAAATAAACAAATAAAACAGAAAGCTAGCTGAGCACCAGCATCCACTGGTCTCCATCATGACTGTAAAGAAGAGGTAACCAAACACCAAGAGCTCCTGCCATCGTTTCTTCCTTACCATGATGGGCTGCACTCTGTAGCTATGAGCTGAAGCAAACCCTTCTTTACTTAAGTTGTTTTTATCAGGTGTTTTGTCACAGCAATGAGAAAAGTAATATAGTATCTAATTTAATCCTCAAAAACATTTTTTTTAAATGGCTGATTTCATGAAAGCAGATAAGACTCAAGTAATAACTTGCCCAGGACCACAGCAACTGGCAGGACACTGATTTGAATGGAGACTGGTCACCTCCAGTGATGTGCACTGAATGACAAAGCTATACTGTCCTCTAGCAAAGGGAGAGGATTTCTGTTACTCAAGTTAAGGACAACGGCTTGTCATTCAACAAAACCACTTATGATAAGAGGAAAGAAAACTTACCCCATGCTGGGAAACCCAGGGCAGAGAAGACGAGAAGGCAGGCCAGCATCTTCACAGGGTCCCAGGACAGCAACAGCCAGAGGACACTGACACTTAGCGTACTGTGTCCACTCTGAAAAAGGAGCATCCAGGACTTCATGGCACCCTGTCTGGCCCCTTGCCCACCATGTGCCTCCTAAGGGCCAACACTCAGCTCAGACTTCTAAGGGTCACCTGCACACCTCAGGGGCTCCATACTTGTAAAGAAGGTAATTGTCATGTCTAGCCAGTCTGCTCCACAGTCACTTTCTACAATCCCAGGAACTACTGGTCTCTTGCAGTAGTTCTGGCTGATCTTAAGCCTTCCACAGTGGACAATTTCTAAAGTCCTTCAGGACCAGTAAAAATGAACTCTACATACATAATTTCATTTCTATACTACAGATTTGTATTTAGCCCTTACAAAATCCCCATAAGACAAATATCCTGAACACAATTTTTTTTTTATTGAAGAGAATACTCAGACTCAGAGACACTGAATGACAGGTTGGGGTAGGTTTGGGCTTCATCCTCTGCGCTTCTGGGCAATCAAAGGTGTGAAAAGTCATAGACTTCTTCTAAGAGCACCGAGGAATGTTCAGTTAATCTCTCCTCTAAAATGAATGAGGATGATGACCAGCTGTTATCACTTTCTGTCAGATGCTGTGGTCCAAGTGTTGTGTGAGAACTCTCCAGACATTTTAATAAGACTCAAACTCACCTGTGCGACCATGTCTAATAATTTAAGTCACATTCCCAAAATTCCCAAATGAGTAGTGACAGACACTGCCCCTCCTAGTCAGACCTGTCAGACTCCAGGGCCTCTGCCCAGTGCCCCAGTTCTGCCTTTGTTTACAGTAGTGGAGATTCTCAACATGGGACCAAGGGCTCAAGTAGAGGGTCATTTCAGTGCCCCACAGGTCCAGAAACCTTTTCTGCTTTTACAGACAGAAATGAACTGATTATTCATTCTTAGTATAAAATACGAACTCCCTGTGATGTCAACCAAATCCACTTTCCCCAGTTAAGAAACTAGGCCATATGTATTGAGATATTATAGATATAAAGAACCTTCCATCTCTGTCCCTATTTCCTATTGGCAATTTGGGTGACCCTTTCAGAGGATGGCGGTGATTAGAATGGGAGGTAGGAGTTGACTAGGCAATTAGGATAAAAAGACCCCAAAGAAAAGTAGCCAGTTTCTTGGCTAAAAGTCAAAATGTCCTTGGGGACTGTTAGCACCATACTTTGTTCCAAAGGCCAAAAATGTCATTCAATCTCTTCATTAGTCAAATGAGAGGCAAGGACCAACTTGTCCAAGATGGAAGCCCTGTCAGCTGGCCTCCCAGAAAAGGGTCTGCCTTCTGAAAACTTCAGGAAGCCACTGTCAGTCCTGGTCAAAAGAAAATTTGAATCCTGGTTACCTAATCCTGCTGCTTCCCCTACTATGAGTGCTAACGTCACAAGGTATGCCCCAAGTTTGTCACACCGTACACCTGAACTCTGAAAGATGAATACGAGCCTGACCTTGCAGGTCTATGAACTGATGGAATCTCTCTCTCAGTGTCTCCATCTTCAAACACTGAGCAGGCAGGACAGGCTGAGGCCTGGCTCGCATTGCTAAGCATCCTCTTCACATAAAATGAATATCCAAACAAGAGGGAAAGGAGGCTAAACAAGAGTTTCAAAGCTTGATCAAAAGGGTAGGAATTGGGGCTGGAGAGATGGCTCAGCGGTTAAGAGCACTGACTGCTCTTGCAGAGGACCCAGGTTCGATTCCCAGCACCCCCATGGCGGCTATGAGCCATCCTTAACTCCAGTTTCAGGGGAATCTGAAACCCTCTTCTGACCTCTGCAGCATTGCACGACACAGATGCACTCACATACATACAGGCAATACACTCATACATGTAAAATAAAGATAATAAATGTAAAAAAAAATTTTAAAGGGAAGGAATTGTCTAGAGGTAAACCCAAAACCAATAGCTTTAGCAAGGAGGTAAAGGAGTGTTAGGACTTTCCTCATTGAGAAAAGTGGGAAACACAGAAAAGTACGTAGAGAACAACTTTAGGAGGAGGAATAAGGAGAACTTTCTCCACCATGAGAAACTTTCTCCATTATACTTTAACCTGATGGAGTCCAACCCTTAAGGCAAACGGCACCTGAAGAGCTAACACACTCATGGGCAGAAATACCTGAGGACCCCTGCTGTGCCGGCGAACACAGTGCAATCGCTTCCTCCTTCACCGGGCAGTGGATCCTCCTTTGGCCTTGGTCCCAGCGCCTGCCTCTCTCCCAGCAGGTGTCTCCTCCAGCCTTTGCTGTCCCGGCTCTGGAGGGCACACCTTCCCAGGGAATGGAGCACTCGGGCTTTGGTTTCCCAAAGAGAAGAGGAAACGCTGGAAGACGGAGGTCTGAGGCTCAGAGCTGGCTCAGACCTAGAGGAACTCAGATGAAATCAGACTGGGGCGGAAAGCACCCGGGCAACCGCCTTATGAATAAGCCCAGGTTCCTCCTTCCTGGGAAAGCTCCCGATTGCCACATCCTCCCAGAGCTCCTTACTAATAGCAGCCCTCAATAAGCCGCACCGTCCTGTGTCCTGAGGCGTCTATGGGCTGTATCCCTGACATAAGGAACCCCATAGCCTTGAATGAAGACAGGTCTGCTCTGCGAATCTAAAGGCTGTGGGTTCAGGTCACTGGTTTCTTTACTGCTTCCAAGCCCTTCCCCAGGGTCCTCAGTAGGGACACAGTGGAGGGAGAGAAGTAGGAAATTGTTCCCAGGAGGCAGCTCACTATGTGATATCACCAGAACCTCTGATGCCCTAGTCATTGTGTCCATTCATCCTAAACTCCACCCCATCAAACTGCTTCCTAGAAATGAACCAAGACTCTTTAACTTCTGGCCATTGACCCCAAGTCTTCAGCTCTGCTGCCCTGTGTCTCTGCATTTCTTTGAAAAAGCTGGGGCTGGAGAGATGGCTCAGCGGTTAAGAACACTGAATGTTCTTGCAGAAGACCCGGGTTCGAATCCCAGCACCCACCTGGCAGCTAACAACTGTCTGTAACTCCAGTTCCAGGGGATCCAGCAGTCTCTTCTGTCCTCCACGGGCATTGCACGATACAGGTGCACTCACTTACATGCAGGCAATACACATATAGACATAAAATAAAAATAATAAATAAAATATATTTTTTAAAAAGTTTACACCTAAAACTTTCCAGCACTACTTTGTCAAACACACCTGAGCTGCAGCCTCTTGAGGTGGAAATGCTCGGACCAGATGATCTGAGGTGGACTCTGCCCACTTGAGAGGGCACCAGATAGCCACTGTGCTCTACTCACCGATGGGTCTCAGCACAGTTCAGGGCAGGTCTCTCCCAGGACCTGCGGCCTCATATCCTGATGTCCTAAGCAGGGGACACTCTTAGTGAGCTCCATCCTCCACACGTACAGGAGATCCTGGATGAAGGCCTCACAGAAAGACGGTAGTGAGGGAATCGAGAATGGCAGCTTGTGACAATAGCAGACACTCCTTGTGCTTTTCTTAAACTCATGGCAGTATCTTTATGCCTGAACTTTTATTTACAACTAGTTCCACCAGCATGATTAGCAATTCAGGAAGATCCCAGCAGACTATCTCACTTTGAAGTCAGACACAACACAGAACAACAACAACAAAAAAAAATTCTGAAGAGACACAGGCATAATGACAACCCAGAGAGGGAAAGAAGGATAGGTAGGGCTCCGAGTCCCCAGCACAGATAAAGGACATTTGCTGATTCCGAGGCAGAACATCCGAGAGAAGGCAGCTGTTACTCTCGGAGTGCTTTTATGAGAATTACAGAAAGTGCTCCTTCCACAAGCAAAACTTATAGCTTGTACATTATTTCTCAATAAAAACATAATGATTATAGGATCAGTAACTTTCCGTAAATTGTGGCAATCTGAATGTTACACGTGAATTAGGTCTTTGAATTTTTATGATAGTAATTAGGAACTCAAAGTCAATGAGATGTGATGTAGTTTTCTTACTTTTGAATAGAGAGATGTTCCGACTTGAAACAATAAGCCTCCCTGGGGTAGAAAAGTGTAACAGTTACTTTCCTTGTTGCTGTGACAAAGTCACTAACAGAAGTAACTCAAGGGAAGAAGGGTTGTTTTTCTGGTTCATGAATCAAGGCATACAGTCCACCAGGGCGGGCAAGTCCCCCGAAGCCGCTTCTGTCTGGGGCAGCAGGGTAAGGCTGCTTGCTCTCATCTCGGGCCATCAAAAAGTAGAACACTGAGGTTGGTAGTGGGTCTGGGCCATCATCCTCAAAGACACCCAAACACCAGCAATCTGCTTCCCCCAGCTAAGACCACAACCTCCCCCAAAGAGGGAGCTGGAGATCAAGTCTTCACACGTGTGACCTATGGGAGACATTTTACATACAAACCACAATACAAGGCCTGCAGGGTGGGCTGTGAGAGGGGTCTAAGAGAAGCCACTCACAGTGGGCACCTTGGTGGACAGTCTAAGAATGAACAGAGCAGGGTGTGGAACTGCAAGAAGCAGGCAGGAAAAGCCTGGGAGTGTAAGAGGACATGGGTGCAGCAGGATGCAGTCAGGAAACAGCCCATTAGTGGTAGCTGCAGAAGCAGCCCATGAGCACAGAACAGAGGCTCCAGCCCCTCTCCCCCACTGCCGGCCATGACTGCCGCAGAGTACTCCCAAAGCAGCTGGCCAGGGAAAGCCAGCGTCCAAACAAAAGGCAGATGTGTCAGTTCCCAACAGAGGCTCCACTCAACATGAAAACATACAACCATATTTTTTGCCTGTTAATTTTATTATCATTATCAGTAATTTTTTATAGATTTTTTTAACCTATGAAATTTCAGAAAGAGCATATTTGTCTGGATAGTGTTAGTATTTTGACAATTTTATATACGTATATAATGTGTTCTGATTATTCGTTCCTCCACTCTCTTGTCTCCCTTCTGCCTCCTGTTAACCCCCTTCCTGCCCTCACTGTCTGTCATTTTCCCAGATTCATGAGTTTGGTTTTGTTTAATGACTCATTTGGTTTAACCAGGGCCATCTGTGGGACCATGGGATTAGGACTATCCACTGGAGCCTGGTGAGGTGGTGGGCACACACCCGAAGGCAATGACCTCCCTTCTCCTTGAATCTGTCAGTAGGAAATCCTGAGGGGTAGCGCTGCCTGGGCCCCTCTTCCATTCGTGCCTGGCTACTGATGGTTCACTCTTGTGCAGATTCTGTACAGTCATCTGCAGTTGTTGAGAGTTCATAATTACAACAGCTGTGCATTCATTGCCCAGAAGATGAAACTTAACAGCCTGTCTTCCATTATGCTCCTCCCACCCCTCCTCGCCCTGTGGGGAATGGCAAAATGACTTGCTTAGGGATGCACCCTCGAACATCGCTTACTCGCAGCACGTTGTGCAGCCCTGCATCTGCATTCACTGCAGTTCTCTGGAAAAGGAAGTTTCACTGATTAGAGCTGACAGGGGAAATTGTTTATGGGTATAACAAACATTTATATATTAAGAAGGCTAGCTGCTATGTCAATTTAGCTAAACAACAGAATCAAGTTCCCCTCTTCAGCCTACAACCTTCCAGCCATGGGCTTTTGAACAGGTTTACAATACCAGCTATGGATTTCCTCCTGTGGAGTGGGTCTCAAATCCAATCAAAGATTGGTTGGTTACCTCATAACTGTCATGCCTCT